ATTGGGGGACATTCGACACACCGCGTTGGACGGAGTTGCCCAATAATAAGTCCCGCGGACATGACGATTTTTGCCAACACGCTTGACCCGTGCAATTTTAAAAAAGGAACTGTGCATTTGGGCGAAATCGCGTAAAATCTCGGGAATTGCTTAAGGACATATCTTTCTATATAGTGTTTCTTCAATTATAATATAATTATAATGTAATTTAATAAATTATAAATTAGCGAATATTAAAATAATATATACATGCTCTTTTTGTGTATTACAAACACATTTCAAACGTCGATATCGCCATCACTTCAAACACTCTCTGAAAAAATTACAAATACGTTTAATTGCATTAAGGTTGTCAGCATTCCTTAGAATACTTTCAAGATCAAAGGTGATTGCGAAATTTTTGATAAAAATAAGATGATTCGGCTTTAGAAATGAGAGCAAATACCGGAAATCTCTATCTCTTCATCAAGAGAATAATGATAGCACTAAAATGCGAGAGACGCTCTCGCAGTGACGGGCTCGAGAGGGACGCTTCGTATTCGCCGCGTTGCGCCAGAATTATACAGTTACACGTTACGACATTTCTAACTGTCTCACTTGGGATTTCGGGTATTTACAAGCGACATGGTCAGGCACGTACGCGCGGGGGGGACCTGTATGTCGGGACCTACACCTTGACATTCGACCGGCGAACAGAGGAAATCGTGTCAAACGTACTGCGTTCGTGACTTCCTCGACCTAAATTCGGCCGAAAACGCGACCGAAAACGTCGGAAACTAGCTGGCGGATTAAGCCGGGGGCACGGAATCTTGATAATTTTCTTGATAAGATCTCGGACGAGTTGTGCGACTCCACAACAGAAATTTAATCTGAAACCTTTCAAAATTCCTAACGTCAAAAATTAACGAAGCCGCGTGTGCGTGCTTGTGTTGTTTGCGTATGTGCGTGCGAATGTATAATCCTTTCACTTAGAAGACCACACGCGCGCTTATTACCCAGTGAAATTTTTTTACGAACGATTAACCAAGATGGAAAAAATAATTCGTCGCGGGGTATTTGGCCAAAAGTGAAAGCCGCGAGTTTATCGCGATTATATTTTCGGAGATCACACTTTTTCGATCTTGCGAAATCGATCGGGGATTAATTGGCAGGCGAGAATAACAAATTAAGCGATATAAGTAGCTGCAAGGTGCGAGCAGTCACACGCATACGCAAATGATGGTCGATCTCATGATTTTATTGGAGGCATCGCATGTATATATGATTATGTATTCCTTGTCCCTTGCAAAGATGTGTCCATCGTATATGTATGCAGCGTAACAAGCTGCTGTTTACGTGGAACTCACTTTTACTCAGGCGTGAAAACGAACACGCGCGCGGCACGCAAGGATTCCGCGCGGCGGGCCAGGAAGAAGTTACCTTATGATTTTGGGCGACACGCATATGCTTATTACAAATCCTTTCGACTCTATACGTATACATTTGCCATAAGATCTTTTATTAAGAGGACTCGTTGACAAAAGCGAATACATCTAGTCAAAATGCATCATTTGTCTCAATAAGAACATCGAATTAAATTAAAGAATTATATTATTATTTAATGCATTAAATGCGTTATTTATCTTTAGGATCAACTTTACGTTTAGCTCGAAGACTCGTTCGCGCTGCACAACTTAATCAGTTTTCCCGCGCGAAGTTTGTAAAAATCCAAACGGATTATCCGACGCTGTTTATCGCGTTCTATTACATGTACATCTTCTGCGCGCACCTTTCACGTAACTCAGGACGGACATTAAACGACCTACCGAAGTATTCAGCCCCCGCTAATTAATTACGTGAGTGCAACGCGCGCCGTTCGTTAATTACCGCACGTCCGACCGTTTTCCATCGCCACCGACGAAAATATACGCCACGACACACAGGCATAAAGTTTCGGAAAGATACGAGCGTAACGAAGTGGTAATGCCACCGCGCGCGCGGCGCGGGCGGCTGCGCGCGGTGCGCGTTATGCTTCGGCACGCACCACTGGCCGCGCACTCTTTTTCTCGGACGAGTGTAACGCGTAAGAAAAAAAGAGATCGTGCAAAATCGTGACATCGTTCTCTTATCCTCTTATCCGTTTCGTCGATAAAATATTATAATGTCAACGAGAGAGGACGACCACATCGATGTAAGCTGTGGCGGGGGGAACGGCTTTGAAAATTAACACGCTGCAGAAACGAAATTTGAAATCTTTCTGAATTAATAAACCGTTGGATACTTTATCCAAAAAGCTATGGTATTTGTTTATAAATATGCGGTGTGAATTATACAAAATGACGAACGCAAATCATTTATGGACCCATTCAACATTTCACAGTGTAATTGCAAAGGAATTGAAATTACCGCATAAATAGTCCGGGACTTCTCATTGACATCTAATTCCTTTGTGTTGTGTATATTATATATTAAATTGTAATTGTTTATTATTATCATTTAATCGCTTTAAGTTGTGACGACTCTCGATTAAAAGTTTGCAATTTTTTAAATGAATTCTTTTTATTTTTATTCTTTGGATATAATATAAAAAAAATAAACTATTAAAAAATCCGTTTTGTTATATGACTGTTCTCTTCTTTCATTTTTTTTTTTTAAAGAAGAACAACTTTTCTCAGTAATTTGACGAAGGTCTTGCCTTTGACGCTATCTCAAAAACCTTTGTCAATTCATTAAAAAAAATTGCTCAGATTTATTACGTACTTTTTACGTGTAAATAGAAGATAATGAATTTATGACTATCGGGTTTTTTTATGACTACGCACATAGAAATGCGTACACCGAATGCTTTCCACATAGCGTTAAAGATGCCGAAGCGGCATCTATAAAGCTATTTAAAGTTCGTTGCGTCGTCTCATTACATCGCATTTTTGTCTATTCATATTTGACAGAAAAGTACCTAACTATTAATGCTGGACAATTTTTACTTCACTGTGGCGTGCCGACGCCATTAAATCTTGGAACATACGTAAACTCGATCTATTCCGAGACGTCCAACAGGTAGGAACTAACGAAATACCTGACTAACCTGACACCTCACGCAGGTACTTCTAATCGCACAATGCGGTAGGTGCCATCCGGGTGCAACTGACTTGAATAGCACTTGTCACAATATTTCAATAACGATGTCCTATAACGGCTCGGAGGACCCCCTTCGTTCGATAGACGAGAGGACGCCACCCAGACAAATAATGTAAATGGTACCGCTGACCCAAAATCGTCGGCAAAGGGACCGCACGAGCTTCCGGTACTTCCGTGTGTCTCTTTCTTTATGACCGCTACTTTACTTCTAACCGGCCTAACTGGACGATTCCGTTGGAAACCGGGGGGGAGGAGGGGGAATTCTCTTCACTTTTACCGCATGGCGGACGGAAAAGTGCGAGACCACGCTCGCGCACCGTTTTTCACGCGTGCTTACGTAGCCGTGAGCCGCAAGAACTCGGACTCGCGATCTCGCATCCACGCACGCGTTTTACGGTATCTGGATCATTTCACCGCCTTGTCTTACGAGAAAACGGGACGACTGAACGCAAAAATCCATCAATAATTTTTAAGAGTTTATATCAAACTTCAGACTATTAATTTTGTGCCTACTTTTGTGTTTATTCGGTAAACTTAAATAAAATGAGAAAAGAAGAAGAAAGAGAGAAAAAGCATATTTGGCATACAATTCAGCGACATTAGTCTCTCTTTTAATTTATGTTTTATGACAAAATGTGACATTAAAAGAAAAGTTAATCTCTTGTACAAATGTCTACGTAAATTGTACATCAATTGTAAATCTTGTCTTGTGTTTCTCGATATATACTATTAAAAACGAAGACACTATCAAAACGACTCGGTTTAACAATAAGTTAAGCGCTTAAAGCGTTGTTTAATAAAGTATTCGACTTGGTAGAAAAAAATCCGATGCAAGTTCGAAGTTGTTCTTGCATAAAGAAGTCACGTTAAAATATCGTAATTCACTTAGATCTTTTCCAAAAATGTATATGAAATACATGACGCCGCATTTGTTACATAAACCTGCATTCTGTACATGTCAGAAAGAGGATCCTGATATCGATATAACGCTCCACGACTCTGATTTCTGCGACTTCTTTTGTTGTTTTGCTTTCTCTTTCAGAACTGGCATGCTCTAGTTCGTCCGAAGCGGTCCGTCTATCTATCGGTGGCTCTTTTGCCGTCAGTTTTAGACTTTGATTCTTTTCTCGAAGCCGATCGAGCTGAAATAACGGCTCGATTATAAAAATTATAAAATTGGGAGGAAGGGACAGGCGCGAAGTAACAAAGTCCACTTTATTCCATAACGCGAATATCTTTATATTTCGCTACAGCAAAAATATGTATATTCAATATATTATTTTTTAAATATATATAAACGCATATATATGTGTATGTATATGTTCATATATAAAAATAGACATATATGTATAATTGTAAGTATAACGATTTGGTGACAAATGTATTTTCCGTTAACTTGAACGAAAATTCGACAAAACGTAAAGTATTCGCTCTGCAGCAATGAGTAATAAAGATTCAACTTATCAATAGCGAATCATCTCAAAAGTATATGAACGAAGTTTAAGTCTTTCGCAGTTTATATTAAAAAAATATACGATATAAATTATATACGATATATAAACGAAGCAATAAAGTTCACTTTATTCCATAACGCGAATATCTTTATATTTCGCTACAGCAAAAATATCAATCAATATATATTCAATATATTATATTTTAAATATATAATATATATGTGTGTGTATATGTGTGTATACATATATAAAAATAGACACATATAATTGTATGAGTTAATGAAAAATGTATTTTCCGCTAACTTGAACGACAATGTAAATCGAATACAAAACGTAAAGTATTCGCTCTTCAGCAGTGAGTAATGAAGATTCAACTTATCAATAGCGGTATTCATCTCAAAAATATATGAACGAAGTTTAAGTCTTTCGCAGTTTATATAAAAAAATATACGATTATTTTACGCGGTCTTGTATGTTTCTGGCAACGTATAATGTCAGCGTTCGATTATAAATATACGCAATTTTCGAAAAAAAAAAAAAATTTCTACGAGTAGTACTTTTTAATTTCTTTAAGTAAGAGCGGCTCCGTTGTTTCGTTTATCTCCACGAATCTCTTGTTGGCACGGCTAAAGTAATAAATATCACCGGTATAAATGTCGAACCACAGCGCGTGGATGTGCAGATCGTGCCTCTCCAGACGCTTCTTCAGGAACCCGTACGACGCGATGTTCTGGAGCTGCTGCAACGTGTTGATCTGCAACAAAGGCAAGTTCCTCAAGTATAACGAGATAGGCAGACTGGCTGTTCCTCCTCGCGACCGATCTGCATTACTGACTTGAGACAATTTGTCTTCGATAGCGAACTTGTTCTCCGGATCGATGTAGGCGACGAATTTACGCAGCGGCGTCTCCGCCTGGAAGAGGATCGGCTCGCGGAAACCGGTGACCTCGAGATGTTGAAATTTAGTGAGGCTGCTGCTGGCGTGCGCGCACAGCCACGCTCTCAGCGGCGACATTCTCCTGTTCGTCTAAAATTCGGGGTGACACGCTTAATGCAGACGTTTAACGCGAAAGTGTGTTGAGAGAAAAAGAAAGGAGGAATGAGTCCACGCGGATCAGTTTGTCCTTCGCGGACGAATTTTTAATCAGGAAACGCAACCGCGCGCGCAAGGAAAACGCACTTGTGACGCGAACTCCTCGTCCCGTAGAGCGTAGAGCAGATTCATCGCCTTGCAATCGCTGTGACCGCAGACTATGATGTGCCTTATGTCGTTCACCACGCATCCGAGCTCCAATGCCGCCGACTCGCACATAGTAAATTCGTCCGTGAAGTGCTGCGAGTGCGGAACGACATTACCGGGGTTTCGGACTGAAAACGTAAATTTTGTTAGGCCGTCCGGTATGTACACACTGTTGCTCTCAAACTTCTTCCATGGATGATTCGATAAATCCGGAAATCACACGTATCCACACGGAGAGATTTTTTTTTTAATTTACCCTGCAAATCATGTTAATTGTGGGACAATATAGTATTTAGGTAAATTTTACTGTGCACTACAATAAATTTTACTGTAAAATCTTATTGTTGTGCACAGTAAAATTTGCCTAAATACTATATTGTCTCACAATTAACATGATTTGCAGGGTAAATTAAAAAAAAAATTCTCTCCGTGCAGTTAATGAATCAAGTGTTTCAAAAAGTAAAACAAAAAGCCTTACAAATATATCATTATATGCTATGAGAACGGTATTCTGAGAATCATTTTATTATGAATATATATATAGAAAAATATAATGTAAGCTGTACATAAAAATATATATAAAACAGAAAATTAATTTCAGAAAAGAAGATATTAAATGTGAATGTTATCAGTTCTGGTGGTTCCCTTGATTTTAAAATAAAATTTTGTTTAATAATTAAGGATTATTGCATCGAATGTATCATACGCTATCTCGTCAGAGGATCTCTGATGTTGTAAGAAGCGTGTATTAGAAAAGAAAATATACGCTGCGATGAAATCAGAAAAAATAGATAATGACTTGGATAATGAACTAGCAGGCGAGGTATATGCGATCGCGATAATGCTACTATAATAGATCGTACCGACAAACATGTCTCCAACGTTCGTTTCCGTAAATCTAGTTGGGATCATCCGGGAGTCCATGCAGGTAAAGAACACTGCCTTTGGCTGTGATAGGAGCAACAGACATCAAATTACAAGCTGTCCTAGCAAATTAGAACATACGACATGGGTGAAGGTCTTTAGTTGATTTATTTTAGAATTAATAACGTGTATCCATTTATATTCTATTTAAATTTTATTAGATAATTTATTAAAGTGTTCGAAGTTCATGAAATATAAACGCATCCCTTCATTAGATTTTTGGATAATTATTTTTCAAAAGTAGTTGAGAAAATTTAAATATGTATAAAACTCTTCTCAACTGCTCTTGAAAAAAAAATTATTCAAGAATCTGTTCTGTATTTTATATTTATGTATTATATTTAGTCGTTACAATTTTATACATACATGTATATGTGTACCCGGGAAAAAAAGTTCCACGTATAATTATATACAAAATATGTCCATATATGTTTTTTTCTTTTGTAAAATTATTTTTTAATACAAAATTTATAATAATAAGAAGGAAATATAGAAAATAATTAAAAAAATAATTTTTACATTGTTTTTTTTTACAAAAAATAAAGTTTGAAGAAATGAGAAAAATTGCTCATATATAGTCATATATAAGTGATTAAAAATATACATATATAATTATATATGAACAATTTTTCTCATTTCAAACTTGATTTTTTGTAAAAAAAAATAATGTAAAAATTGTTCTTTTAATTATTTTTTATGTTTGCTTCTTATTATTACCAATTTTGTATTAAAGAATAATTTTACAAAGGAAAGAAACACATATAGACATATTTTGCATATAATTATATATAATTATATGTATGTGGAACTTTTTTTCCCGGATATATATAATAGTATGTATGATTGTAATGATAAATTAAATATATAAATATAAAATACAAAACATAACGGAGTATTCAATTTATTGTGTTTATATATAATATATAAATAAACACAATAAATTGAACGTTTTATTAATTTATTATGTTCTGTATTTTATATATGTATTTGTATTATGTTTTGGTCAGTAAAAACAGTAATGTGAGTAATGCATTTTTAACATGAATATGTCGGTAAATATTGTACCATATCATAATCTACAGCACAATATCAAAGGAGCATACTCTATTGGTAATAACAAGACACACGAGAATAATCAAGATCCCACAGTCGGTAAGATGTTTCATCCGATACATACGATATTATCAATAGAATAACTCGAGTGGGTAAATCAGGTATCTGTCTAACATAACATCGTAATTACATTCCGTCTGGCTATCAATCTTTTACTTAGGGCGAAAACGTGTGAAAAGTGAAAATTTTCACAATTAGAGAAATTTTTCACACTTTTCGCATTTCCTAGGGAAAACTCTACTTAAATAAAAATAGAACAAATATTTCTCTAGCGTAACACTCGTGTCAGTATAACGTAAACATTCTACGGTCATTAGATATTTTCTAATCAATTATTAGTCAATCGATCGTTCGAGGTCATTATTCTCAGGCCACTGCGTTTAAAACGAATGATTTTATCACTTAAGTTATATATTAGATAAATGGAGTTGTGCGAATTTGTTTCAGCTGACGACCACTTGCTCCGAGATAACATCAACAAAACGCACGTGGATCATATGTTCGGCGTGACGTGACAGCGCGAGAGTACCTGTCTATATATACTTATATCTATCGAAAGGGGGATCATCACGCGAGATCTTTTTTTTTTTTAATATCATACGAATGTATATATATGTATACCTCGGGATGATCTCTGACTTGTTGGAATTGCTTCACCATCCCTTCCCGGTGGCACTTTCTGTACTTCATGATCCCCTTGAGTATTCTGTCCATCGCGACATTCGCGCAATAACTGGTGAAACCGTCGGAAACTTTTTCCGTTTTCCGAATGCGAGGAGCAATGACAGCACACAATTCCGCCATGTAGCAACTCAACGGCGGGAAATTTAACTTCCGTTTGATCTATGATAAGACGTTTTTTTATTTAATTTTTTTTTATTTTTAAATTCAGATAGATGCCTTTGACTTAAAATATATTGGAAAGAAAGAGCCTTGAATGTGAGTAAACTTGGAAACTGATCGGTCTTCGATTATTCTAAAAATGTTTTTAAGCCAGGTGGTTTCAATAGTAAATTTATTATTACTTCTAACACTTATTTCATCGGAGAAAATATTTCTATAACTCTAAGCACATCCACATCGACGTAGAAGACATAGCCTACTTGTGGTTATAATTTATTTGCACATTTAAAAAATACAATATAGTTTTGTTACATATCATACGTAACTCTTGCATTGTTTAAAGGGTGTAAACATATAAATACACCGTATAATCCTTTCCTAAATTGACGTTAACTATTTATCGATTTTTTTTTACAACCACAATACGACACTCCGATATACAACGTGGGCTGCACATCCACTTGAGAGTGCCTTTCATATTTGAGAATCTTCAGTAGTAAAAAGCTATTGGTGAACACATAATTAAGAGCGATTGTACGTAATCCGGTTATCGTCGGAAACTCTTCTATTGTCGTGAATCACTTTCGAGAACGATGAGGCTCTCAAGTGGATACTCAGTCCTCGCATTGTTACATCGTGACGCATGCATATACAGAAGAGAGACATTTGGTTGCGCGTGATTCAATTATGACTAACATTCGTTGGATGTTACTGCGACACGTTTCGAATCACGATTCTCGAATCGAAAAATAAAAAATAATCACTTCCCGGTGAAGCATACGAGAGTCGCGGTACGGAAACTATACTCTACTATGCGGTAAATGGCAGATGCATTATATGACCATATTACATCCGCGTGTAATATGTCGGGATGAATTCACACAGTCGATACCGGTCCTAACATACGACCTGAAATACAGCGATAACCGTCAGCCTCTTTCGGACACGTCGATTATATTACTTGTATTTTAATATTTTTGTCATAAACGCTCACGTTGAGAGAAAAGCCATACATTCAAGTATCACACTTTTGCGACCCCGATCTCGTCAACAATCTCGGCAATCCCCGTAATCGCGCTTCATTTTTATACGATACGATTCCAGAAATTCAGCAATTATTAACAGGATGGACCCGGGTGACAAGGCGCCTGGGTCGCGCCGACTTCTATCTGGTCAGCGCCGAGCTCTGGCTGGCGCGCTCCAACTTTTCGAAGTGCTTCCGCGCGTTCCGTATGTTGATCAACGTCGCCGCGGATGCTGGAAAAAAAAAAGACTCTTGGCTCTTTTTATCAGGCTTGACGTATCGTGAACTCGAGCGTACAAACGATTATACTTACGTATAGTCGGATCGGACATGATGACCATCACGTACGTGTTCGAGGTAAATATATCGATGAAGGCCGCGAAATTGGTATTCCTAACTTCCATACTTTGAAACTGCGCCGCTAATTTACTGCAAAGTGTAACAACAACACACAATATGTCGCATCTCGTTCTTACAGGACCCCGTTACCTTTCTGCGCGACTCGCACTCACCTGCAACTTAGCTTGAATTGCTTTATTATATTGGAGACTTTCTCAAAGCGGTGAACGTCCCTGTGAAACTGCCGCTGGCAATGACTTATCACTAGGAAGGTCGCCCTCTCGAACAGAAGAACCTCGTCCGCGTCGATGATATTGGCAAATTGATTTAAGCTCTGTTCAAGTTCCTTCACGTTGGGAATCAGCATATATACAATGGACGACCACGCTCTGCAATAAGAAAAAAAAATTATTTGCCCGCTTTAATTATATTAAAGTTCGTTGATATTGTTTAATTGTCAAATAAGAAATTTTGACTCGGCCAAGGAACGAGCAAGATGTGATGTGACATGAAAGCGCAAGAACATGATATTATAAAAATTTAAGAACATTAAATTTTCTTAAATTATTATATCATGTTCTTGCGATTTTCGTCACATCACACCTTGCTCGTTCCTTGGCCGAGTCAAAATTTCTGATTTGTTTTTTAAACAAGAGCTAATTAATGTAGTTTTAATTTTGTTTAATTATATTATATGTATAATTACACCTGATATATATATACCTGTATAAAGTTTCATCCCATATGCTAGTTCTGAAGCAAGTGCACTCCAAGGGTAAACTCAGTCTCTTCAGATCTTCCTCCCTCTCCCTGAATATGTAATCTCGCTGGTCCTCCTGCACGAGATCCATTTTGTGCACCAGGCAGAAGATCTTCGCCTCTGGGCTGTTCTGCAGTATCGCCTCCAGGCAGCTCTGATAATAATGCATATCCTTGTCCAGCTCCCGCGACTCCACGTCGAAGACGTAAATCAGCACCTCCACATTTCTGAATATGTTGTCGCGCTGCGACGCGAAGTAATTCTCCATGAACGCCTCCTGCCCTCCGCAGTCCCACAAATTCAGCACCAGATTGCCGAGGAAACGAACGTGGGAGTGCTCCACGTCAACTGCAATACATTACGTTGCGTTTAGTGACTACTCTCGCCCGCCTGCGGCAGCGTGTGATATGCTTCAGCTTACTCGTCGCTCCCAGACGATGGGTGTCGCGGGCGATGTAGTTGGCGAAGATGATGCTGCGCATACTCGTCTTCCCGGACCCGCTCTTGCCCATCAACAGTACCTAAATGATGAACGTCAGTCAGAAAATTGCCTCGCAGAACAAAGAGAGTTGTCTCGCCGCGATGGAGAGAACTTATGGCGAAAAACACGTGAAAGGCGCGCGATTCCATTTACCTAATTCGAGAAGAAAGAAAAAAAACCTCACCTTCTTCTTCATCTCGAGTGAACGACGCTCGTTTCCGAGGAAACTCTTCGGGAAAAGTAACGAGGTCTCTCGCACCACACGCTGGCTGGCTTGGGCTGGCCCTCGTAGTGGTCTCGCTTATCAACCGTTCTCCGCCCTCGAGCCAGAGGAGGAATCGACGCGCGCGCTCGCGGTCAACGCTCAACGGCTGACGGCTGCCTATCGCCAACTGTCGTCGCACATCAAAACACGCAACGTTATTAATTGTCGGCGCGATTACATGTCGCGTCTCATTTCGAAATAGGCCACCCACATGGAAACGTACTCACACGTACTCTCTCGGCAGGCGCGCAGAAGTCGGCTGCGTACACAACAACAGGGCCGTATATTGGCCGTAGCTCGCTCACACACACACCACGCGCCGATTCTCCGACCGTGCGCGTCCGAATATCCAATGGCCGATAACCTCGATAATTCTTTACGCACTTCCGGAATTCTAGATTTCTTTTTAGGGATTTTAGATATTCATGCGTCGCGTGTGCGTCGCGCGAGTCATGACAGCTGCGAAAAAGAAATCAGCTGTTTTGCGACGTCGCCCATCTCCCCTCCCCTCTCCCCCCCCCTCCTTCACAAACAGCTCTACTAGCTCCAGTAATCTCGTCAGGATACACGAATATACGTAGACGTGCGACGCTGAACAGAAACGTACGGGACAATTTCACGCGATAAAATGATAATTGTTTATTCATTGTATCTAGCGATAATCGAGACGTTTTTGTGATATATGCTGTATGTACATTTTCTGCGCTTAGAATAAAACAGACGTTTAAATTGGAGCATTGAGAGGAATTTCTCACAAAAAAAAAGAAAGAATTCAGCTGCGAGGAGCAAAGCGGCCGCAAACGAACAGACCCCGGCCATGGTTCACGCCGAGTGAGAGAGCGCCGAGACCGCAACGTGCACACACCTACCTGCTCCGCAGTCTCTCCGGCCAGATCGATGTGTCACGTGAATCGTACGAAGGCTCTCTCATGTGATCCCTTCGGTACTCCGTAAATAATTCTTGTGCGGCCCCAACCGTCGCGAGCTCGTTCGCTACTTTTTCGGAGGAATCGTGAGATTCGTCAGACAGGAGAAAAAAGAAAAAGGAGAATGGGCGCGTCCGTGTTACCCGTGTTAGCCTTCACGATCATCTGGGGTATCGTGCTGTTCCTCGGAGTAGCTCTACCGCTCTTCGTCCCGAAGGGGCCAAATCGTGGGTAAATATCCCTCCCGACGACTCTCATATTTACTCTCGCAAATATTTTTATTCCGCTCGCAATTCGCACACACAGATCTGTATATGCAATTTGTAAACAGATCGTCCGAAACGGAGTATTTTCTCCTACGTGTATTTTACTCACGTTATCGTATAGCTCTTGCAAAATATGACAGTAACGACGGTGCATTTTATCTAATTTTCCATGCATTATTGTACATTACATTTCGATAAGCAGCAATATGTTCTGAAGATTATATAAATCAATGTTCGCTGAAGTGTTATTCGTATATATATTCGTATCTCGTGAAATTGAATTATGTTAACATTTAATTTACATTGATATTTATTTTTCAGAATACTACAAGTTCTACTGGTATTAACGGGCTTTACGTGTTGGCTATTGTAAGCATAATACTTTTCGATTGACATTATAGTATTTTTCTTGATGCTTCGAGTCGCATATGTTTGTGATTAATACATAAATGAAATTTTCTTACAGCTGGCTATGTTGCTATATGGCACAGATGAATCCACTGATTGGGCCCAAGTTAGATAATGTAACTATACTAGTTATGGCCCGAGAATGGGTAAGTCAAAAACATCGAGGATTAAATAGCTCATTTATACATGCGTAGATTGATTGAGTTAATTGTCTCATTATTGTGGTTAAGCAATCGCGCGGAAATGTAAAAATAGTTTATATTTGGATATTATTGCTCGTAAAGTTTAAATACGTTATTTTTTTTTGTTACAGGGTAATCCTATCCCCGATTAATAAGCATTCCACGGTTCACGAAATTCTTGATTTCAAGTATATACGTTCATTCCCCGACATTATTTCCAATGAAAATGTGTAATTATAAAATAATTATAAAATCATGAAGGTGAAACGAAAAAATGCCAGTATGTATAATTAATAATTCTTATGAATGGAATGGTCATATAATTCAACTGTAATTATATATCAATAATTTAATTTGTATATAAAATATATATCGCACTTACTTAGAAATGTGTAAGAATTTTAATGTAATGATTACTTGAAAAATACTTGTTGGGAAAACGAGATAATGAATTTAACTTTTAATTACACACATCCTTATATCGTTTAAACCTGTCTTCCTATGAAAGTAATATAAGGAAGTTAAGAAAAAAATGAACTGAAAAAATATATAAAATTATGTTTACATTATATTTTTACGTTAATTCATTATGTAATGGGCTTGGCCAGAGAGAAGCATATGAGAGCGGCCTATCCTAGTCTTTTATGTAGGACCATCAGAATCTTCCCGGACATTCCTGCCAGTACATTCATTTTTGAAATGGATACTACATAGCTATATAATCTACCAACGAGGTATTATTAAAGGCTGTATATCCAAGATAACAATCAATATTTTGTTATCGACAGTGAAAAGTTTACATAATATATATAATTTTTAATTTTTGCAACATTTGCTGCACGGATACACGTATTTTTTAATTTTCACAACGTTTGCTTTATGTATACGTGTATATGTATATTGCACTACTCTAAATGTTAAATAATTTGCTTAACGATATACATTTATTAAATAATTATAATCTAAATTTATTCTTTTATAATCTTTTGAGCGTCTCAATAAATGTTTACTCCTATTATATACACTCCGTGATGTATTATTTAATATTGTATTACTTAATAATTGATGATAAACGTTTCATAATATATAGTTGAATAATGACGATTGGTAAGAAAAACGAAGCACCGAATATTTATGCTTAATGATAATAAGTGTTAATTATTAATACATAACACTTAATTATATTAAAATGGATATAGTACCCATTTAAAAAATGGATTTACTGGCACTAATGTACGGATTCTGAGGAGATCCATGCGGTCCACGCATGACGGTCCACGTAAAAGGCCGCTCTACTAATGCTCCTCTCTGACATCGGCTTGCAGGCTCTATCACATACACGCGACAAAGTGTCACCGTGCCAACACGAGGCGCACGTGCGCCGACAGCCAATGAGAGCCGTTCAACGAGCCGTCGTTACGGTTACACGTGATATCAGCCTGAACTGCCGCCTGTGGGTGAGATACATATTTGGTTCGCGCTCTCCACGGTGCAAATGTCAATCGCGAGAGGTGATACAATAATAATGGAGGCTTGTAATGCCGTTGAGCGCGAGGTAGATAAAGTTCTGTCGAAATTCGGCGCGATAAATGAACATGCGGAGACGGTGTTGCGCGACCTGATAAACCACATTCAGTCTTTGAAAAAAGACCTGGAGGAAGGTAAACGCGGCCGTGATCATTGGCATTCCTCTTAAGATCCCCGAAGATCATTGTCTTCAATCCCGTTCACTCGATAGTTTTTATCGTGCAATTCGGAGGGCACGTCGCGTCCTCGATTCTCGACAGACCAAATTGATTCTCCGATGGATAGATTGTTTGATTTATTAACACAGTGTCTGCAATTTCATTGTTTGGAATCGACTAACCTCTAAACATAGCTCTGCATATTGTACACTATTACAGCTTAGTTTTGCGCGTTTACATAAATCATAGTGTAATTTGCAATTAAATGTAAATTATTATATTTTATCATCCTATTATATATTTATTTATCCTGTTACTTTTATCGTTACTTTTATTATTTTCTCAATACTGAAGTATTATTTCCTGTATTTGTCATTGGTTGCAAATCATCCTGTCATTGAAATGCAATCCGATGTATCTACACAACTGATGTTAAAACGACTTAGATCTTTTAAATGTGGATTTATGTGATACCCGATGAAAAGGAAATAAATTCTATTTTTCATATAAATTGATTTCGTGTGGAAAACTATACATATATAAATATCTGAATATATATAATTGACAAATATATGATATTTATATATTTATTCTTTTACAAACAGAACAAATATTCGACTTTTCTTATAAAAGCTGAATATACTTTTATTAGCGCCACCCAATCAGGAACAAACGGCCGGTCAAGTACAAATGTTAAAGCAAGCAATGACAAAGGTACGCGATACTGTACAAAGACTGGCAACGGACCATCGCGATCTGCACAGTACAGTGTCCAAGGTGGGCAAGGCGATAGACAGAAATTTCATTGCCGATTTCGCCAGCACCAGCAGGGAAGATGTGTTCTCTGGACCCGAGAAATCTCATCTCCTCAATCAAATTATCTGTCAGCACTTTTATCGGCAAGGGATGCTAGATATCGCTGATGAATTAGCAGTGGTAAGTTTCCTTTATCAAATCTATATATTTAATTTGTTTTAGTGCAAAATTATTACACACACACACACACACACACACACACACACACACACACACACACACACACACACACACACACACACATATATGTATACATACTGTAATTGGAGAAATATTTACAGGAAGCTGGCATCAAAACCGACGAAGGCAGAAAGGAACCATTCACAGAATTGAACTATATACTAGATTGTCTAAAACAGAGAAATCTCGAACCGGCGTTAGATTGGGCTAAGAAACACAGAGAAGCACTCTTAGCGCAGGTAATTACTAACTCGCGAGCGTGCACCGCAGTTCTATGTTACAGCAGACGTACATCGTTAAGTTGCATCGTAAATTTCTCATTTCTTCTTCCAGAATTCTTCTCTCGAATTTAAACTACACAGATTACATTTTATAAGATTAGTCCAACAAGGTCCTAGCATGCAGAGAGAGGCGATACTGTACGCCCGTCAGAATCTCACGCAATTCGTCGGACGTTACGAGAAAGAAGTGCAGTCTCTAATGGGGACGTTACTCTACTTGCCACACGGGATCCATCAGTCTCCCTACAGTCATTTATTGGATCCAACATTGTGGCTCGAAATACATGACGTTTTCACTAAAGAAGCGTGTACATTATTAGGCTTAAGTGTGGACAGTCCATTGTCTGTTTGGTACGTATATATGTCTTATTTGCTCGTAATTAAGGGAGAGAGTTTTAGCCGGCTAAAACATGGATGATTTGTCCGATTTGCAGTATCAACGCGGGATGCACTGCGCTACCTGCGCTACTGAACATCAAGCAAGTCATGCAGCAGAGGCAAGTTACCGGTATCTGGAGCGGTAAAGACGAGTTGCCCGTAAGTACCGAGGCACGTATACACATCGAGATGCGTAATAGTTGTCAGGACACTCGGAAAACATTCCCGATTCCCTTTTCCGTGCAGATCGAGATAGACCTGGGGAAGCAGAGCCGCTACCATTCAGTTTTCGCCTGCCCTATACTCAGGCAACAGAGCACAGAGAACAATCCGCCGATGAAGCTGGTTTGCGGCCACGTAATTTCCCGAGACGCGTTGAACAAGCTCGCCAATGCGAATAAGTAGGTGCTACGTACGCGGGCAGGCCGAAGTACACTGGTGCTCCCTAAGTGCTGATTTAAAGTCACTTTTTAAAAGAAATCAATTTATTTCCAGGTTGAAATGCCCGTACTGCCCGGCGGAGCAGAATCCCGAGGATGCGAGACTTATTTACTTTTAAGCTGTGATATACCTACCTAACACATATAGTAATATATACTTATTATGTATATTATAATGTGTGTGTATGTATAACGACTATATACACATGTCAGAAAATTAGTTTTGCAGTTTCTTTGTAACGGATTCTATCGCGTGCAGAAGAATAATACAAATTACATGCAATAATTGGAGAATTATAAATCCATATTTTACACAACTCGTCGTCAGAAATCACCATTAACGTAACGTTTTCTGTTCGTCCTAAATATCGAGATCGACTATCCATTTTTTCTTTTTTTTTTTTTTCTTTAAACGAAAATACAAGTCCTAATTGCGATCAACTTTATGCAGTCTTTTTTAAGGAAAAAAAGGTTCTCGGATATCGAAAGAAAAACGGAGGAACTGTGATAGTGTTTTACTATTTATGGGGTAGTTGTAATTACACAATTATATATTGTTGGTAGACAATTTATATAAATATATTACTTCTAGTGTATAAGTGACTTCAGCTTTGTACGCGAGTGATGACTTAAGGGCCATGAATCTAACGACGCCTAACAGATTTGTTACAGGATCTTCGTAAACTTATCCGTTTCTCATTTCGATTGTATGTACTGGCTTACTATAAGTTAAATGAAAAGATCATTTTGTAAATGTTTACGCATTTATTCCACATTTCCCGCATCGTGATTTATAATATATCATCAATTCCGAAATAAATAAGAAATATATTACAACGTAAAATATTTCTAATATGTTGATAAAAATTAAAAATAAAAATTTATGCCGAAATCCTGTTTATAATAATAAAAAAGAAAGAGAATTTTAAATCGACGGCTATCGGAGGAACGCTCGCCTATTCCGCGTACGGTATCGATCAAACGAGAATAAGAGAACGCGCATACAGCGATTGTGACCAACGTTCGTTCGAAATCTGATAGGATTCGTTCACCCGAATTTAACAAGTATTGAGGAGAAATGTTAAAGTGTCTTCATTTCTCACACAAAAAACTACACAGTGACCACATAATATTTTTTCAGATATAGCTTTAGTGAGATCTTTTGATAACATGAAGAATTCGACAGGTAAGCTAACATCTGTGTCGATCAAAATTTAATAAAAAATTTAATAAAAAATCGATTTAATAAAAAAAAAAAGATTAATATGATATTCCATTCGTTATTCTTCGAGCCAAATCTGGATCATCGATGCTACCGACCCTTATACGATCTACTGAACGTCGAACCTTTAATGAAAAAACCGATCCCGTTGAGACATTGCCCCGCATGATCGGTGAATTATCGATTGATGAATGTGCGAAGCGAAACATCGTCAGTAAAGTAAATCAAGACTCTACAATTGGAGAAAGAATCACGGAACGCGATTCTAAATTGAGGACGGCCTCTCTGTACGATGTCGATAGAATGTCATTCGAGGAACTGCAAGCTTCTCTACGTAGAATTACGGAAAATCCGCGACAACCGTTTTCATTTCTGACGAATATCTCCGATGAATTCGCGAGTGACAAACATTTGTCGACGAACCCTACGGAAATCGACGTAAATATAAAAGAATGATTTAAAGTCATTCTACTGAAATGCAAAATAGTCACGTGAATATATTTAACGATTATAATTTAATTTGGAATTATTCATTTGTCCAGATGCAATTGGCTGCTGTAGCACAGCGTATCGAATCGAGTAAAATTTTATTGGAGGAAGCCAAATCTCACATCGAAAACATATATCTTCGCGCTAGGCAAAATGATGTTTGCCAATTGTGGAAAATACCCAACAGTAAATATCGATATTTATCGATTAATTCGCTTGTATATAATTCAAATATTTCTGTTTTCACAGTTTACGATGATAAAGCCAAAGAAGAGTCCGTTAACTGTTTTAATCCTGCAAGTTCATAAAGATTATACTTAAATAAAAGATTTTCAAAGGATAAATTCTTTATTTATAATATATATATCGCGACAGAATTTAGAGATATTATTTATTAAGATAACTATAATGTGATGATCCCGAATAAAAATTGTAAAATATAAAATTCAGGCTGAAAGCGCTTAGCGTTTGATTTGCTATTTATATACGTATATATAATGTGTACACGTCTCAAATATATGAGTTCATGAAAATAGAGTTCAATTGCCTTTAATTGCTGCCAGAGCACGGACCAAATTGCCGTGCTATCTGCGATGTGTCATCACAGTTCGCCGCGGGCAGAAAAAGAAAAGAAGAAATTCATCTTAGTCTCTTATAAAGAATACAAAGTAAAGCTGCGCAGTGTGTATAATTACACAAAATAGTAATAATAATAATAAATAAAAATAGAAAGCAAGACAAGCAAGCTCCTATGTTGCCCCTTCCCGTGTGAAGCGGGCGGACAAAATTTCCGGGATCATGTTGACCTCGTTGTTGATCTTCCCGTACATGCACCAGTCTACGTCGCTCGGACTGGCGTCGACGATTTTCGACGGCTCGATGGACTCGGACTGATCGTCGCAAACGTGCTGCGAATCGCCGTGATCGTTCTCGTCGACGGACCACTGCGACGCGATCTCCTTGAACGGCTGCAGGCAGCTCGCGTTTTGCCGTATGTTCTCCAGTTCCTCGTCGCATAGGCGCTCGACCTCCGACAGCCTGTGCCTGTAGGCGTCGACGAGCACGCGCTTGTACGTGTTGTAACGTTGCTCGGCTTGCTCGAGGGCGTGTCGGTCGTGGTACTTGGCGAGATTCTTCTCGTACTCGAGTATCGCGAGTTCCCTGATGCTCCGTTCCGACGTGAAGTCGACGATGTTACCTGTGCAAATTTGCCACGTAAACGTTAATTATTAATTTCGGATGTAGATGTAGATTAAATCAAGCGAATAGGAGACGAAAGAAGCGTAGATTTACGATTTAATAATCTTTTAAAATTAATCCACTACTTCAAAGATTTATTTAAAAATCTAGGGTTTCCTAAGATTTGTTAACGTTCAAGGATTTACAACTTTTTTGAAACACACTTCTATTGATTTCCTTTTAATCCGCTTGTTTTTATAAGGAATAAATTGAAGAGTATAAGCTACAAAGTTAATTAATTAAATACTGGTGATCCCCAAATCGCTCGAGAGCGGCGATTCAACGGCATAAGCCGCAGCAGCGGCTCGCGCGGCCGCGGTTGCCTCTTCGAACGCAAGTGCATCGCTTCTCTCACGTAAAAGCTGAAACTCCTCCTTCTCCTTTCTCCAAAGATTCATCTCCTTGCTCAATTTTTCCTGGAGGCTCGTCATCTCCGACCGCAGCTTCTCAGCGCGTTCGTGAAGGAGAGATCTAAATGAAGTATTTTTATCTGGCGAATATAAAATAATAATTTTACCTTGCCTAAGAAAAAGTTAAAAAAGTTGAAGTCACAGGGACATATTAGCATTTTTATACTTTCGAGAATGATCTCCGCACCCGAAAAGAGTGCACTTTCACTCGAACGGAGTGCGATTTCACACAAATTATAGAATGCAACTTCACTTCTTGTTAAATTGTGTTTGAGTCGTTTTGGCTTATTTTTCATTCTTTGAGTTTTAAAAAGTTTATATTACGAAACACAATTCACAAGATCTTTATCATAAAATACCTTCGTAAAGTGGAACTAAAAACCATCGTAATTTCCGTTAAAAAAGAGAGAAAGAGTGAATTCTGTTAAATTATTTCTCAAAATATTTCTCATTAAAAATTTCAAGATTATATATAATTGACAGGTATATAATACGAGAATTCTCTTTCGTAGTCGACGACTAATTCTGGATCTGTTGCGAGAGGAAGTCGAATCTCCGTTCGCTCGACGTCGCCCGACAATCCCTCGGATGCATCGTCCTCGTCCGACGTCTCGATGTAAATCGCGGGCACATTTTCGTGATTAATCACGTTTTGCGTACTTTCTTTCCGCGTGTCGTCGCGTTTCTCCAAGTGACATTTATGAATTTTGCAGTCTCGAAACTCCGAATCTTGAGATGCATCGTTCAAGATGACAGACGCTTCATCCATCGAGGAGACGCGCTTGTCATCCATCACGTTTCGTTCTTTTTTTTTTTTAATTCAATCGAGTATAGAATTCACGAGGAGTATCGCTGACTGATGACAAAATTTCACGATTTATTAATCTTAAAAAATTAATCTTGGGGATAAATTGCACGCGCTTCCGTTTTGTTTCTGAGAAATAAAATGTGCGATCGCAGCGGCAACGTTTCAAATCTGTGGCAAAGTGACAATATCTTTAATTAAGAAATTTTTAAATGCAAAAGATATTACTGTGTAATGAGACTATGCATCATAATAACTCGTCTAATGCACGTACAATGTAATAATAAAAATGCCTGAATGAACGTTAGAAATGGGAAAATATATGGAAGAGGTGTAAAATATTTGTTCGCAGACAGATGAGAAGTAGAAAAAGAAATATACATCGTATTTGCATTGCGTGGCGTAAATATTTATCTATATAACGTAAAAATAATTTTTACAATGTAACAACAAAAAAATTTGCACATATAATAGTATTTGCATCACTTGGCTCAATAGAAAAATTTCACGTAATTTGTGTTATCGATTAATCCTTAAGTACTTAACGCGCGGTAAAAAGCTTTCTCCCTCTCTTTTTCTTCTTCTTTCCGAAAAGAAAATTGAGCGAAAGAAAAGCAGATTTTATGCTAGATCTTAAAAATTTTAAATCCTTTCATCAAACCGCGCTGATTCTTCAATTCTTCTTTTTAAAGTAAAAAGTACAATCGAAAGAAACGTCAAGTCGCGTTGATCCGACGCGAGTACTTGAGGATTAAACTTTTTTTTTGTGTGTATATTAATAATACCTTTTTTTCATCAAATTGCAACAACGAATTGGTAACACTTTCTGGAATTTTCAGAGTCGACCGTAAGCGTTTGCTTTAGAGAAATTCGCAAAGCAATACCGACAATAAAGATACAGAGATCGACGTGATTAAGTCGTCGAAGTCCCAATCGTATGTTCTATATACACAATGAGATGTTACCCGACGTGTAATAGACATGAAAAAAGAAATTTGCAACGTACATTCACGACATCATGTCCCATCCTTTTTACCCTGGTATCTCTCTCGAGTCGGCACGCGGATATATTGCATTGTTTGATTACAAAAAAATGTCCTTTAATTACAGAATGACGCGTATGTATAATCCTATCTGTTATGTGATTTTTTTTCTATGTACAAATTTCGATCTCGGTGGGGATGTGTGAAAAGCCGCAACGATAGCAACTTAAATCGTCGAATGTCGAAAATGCAATCTAAGATAAATTCTAATCGATCTTGGCGTACATAACTAAACCGCTAAATTACTAAGCTTAAGTATTAAGATCGATTAGAATCTAAATATCGATCGAAATGACATTTACATCTACATTTTAGATCATATAAGACACTCGTAGAAAAATTCCTCGAGTCAGTCATATTATATAGCGCAAAGAGCGACCGAAAAGTATTAAAAAGAAAAATTATTATAAAGTAGTCTCTTTACGCTATTTGCACTTTAGCGACGCGCATGGCGCGCGCGTATTTGATATCCCGACCGTCTCTGAGGACGTTCAACGTCTTAACGATTCGCGACTAGTACGACGGGAGTAGATTGAGCCTTAAATTAGAAATTAAATGTAGAAAGAAAGAAAGACGAATGTGTTCGCTTTAAAAGGCAAAACGCTCGAGATTCGTTCGCACTGTCTGGCTGATCCCTTTGGTCTTCTCCGGCTGCCAGCTCTTGCTCTTGCTGCGAAAGAATCGGTACTCCTCCTCGTGATTCGGGTGCTTCATCGGCTTGTAACCCTGCGGCGAGCAAAACTCCTTCTGCTCGCTGTAAAACATCTTGTAGCCCCCCAGCAGGAGATAAATCTCCGGATAGTACAGCGCCGGGTAGTGCTCCTTGTTGCACGCGCGGTCCAGTCTGCGCAGAGTCCTCGAGAGATTCGGCCCGCGCTCCCACGAGAACTCGCAATGGAACACGAGTACGTTGCGCCTGTCGGTGTCGAGCTGGATCTTGGGAACGGTATCGGCCAGGTGATCGAGCATGATCTGCTGGATGAGATCTATGTTGTAGATGTTCACCGACCCCTGGATGTGGCCCGCCTCGTACTCGTACGGATAACGGCAATCGATGATGTTGTAGGAGCCAACGCGATCGGCGAACTCGCCGCGTAGGAGGGCCGCCAACGTGTCGGGCGAGATGGTCTTCAGATCCGGGTGCATGCCGCTCGGCACGAGCGGCATTATACACGGCTTGCTGAAGTCGCCGATGAGATCGGTGTCGGTGACGCTGCGGTGGATCGCCCACTTGATGTTCGTGTGCGTCTCGCTCAGGCCCGCCCTCGACTCGGACAGGCTCCTCTGCAGGGCGATCTGCGAGTGCGTCAAGGTGCTCGTGCGTCTCGCCGACACGGGCGTCGTGTTCGGGCACAGGCCGTTGGACTTGCGCGATCGTTTCAGGATCGACGTCTCGTCCTCCAACAGATCTTCCGACGGCCGTTTGTAAGATCGGACGGAATGGAGATCCGGCGGCGAGATCTCCATTTGGAGTCTGTAGTAGGGTGCGGATGCCTCGTCGTAGCTGTACGTCCTCATCACCGTCCTCTTCGAGCAGCTCGCCGTCGGCGAGCGAAACAGGCAAGTGCGGATCTTCGACAGCGGCGGCAGCTTCTCCAGCGACGGTGACCCCGCCGCCGTCGGCGGCGACCGCGCCAGCGACGGCGACCGCGCCAGCGGCGGCGACATCGTCTTGATGCTCCGCTTGTACATGCCGCTCTGCACCGACAACCATTTCTTGACTTTCGACGACAGATTCCGGGAGAAGTCGGGGGTCGTCGAGACGTCGTAGTCCGTCGATCCCTCGGGCGCGACTATGTCGCCGGAGAGCAGCTTCGAGATGCCGCTCGGCAGCTGCATCTCCTCCTCGTCCGTGGTCTCCATGTCGTTGAGCTCGCTCACGAGCCCGTCGTCCATGCTCTCGTATCCCGACGACAGGCTACGCAGCAGGGACGAGCTCTTCGAGTATTGGTAGTTCATCGGAGAAAGTACGGGATGCGAGCACATTGAATATTCCATGGGTATACTCCTCCTCGACATCGCGAACTCCGCGGAGTAGAATTCGCGCCGCTTCTTCGCCTTCTCGCTGAGCGGGCTCGACGGGTGGCCGCTGTCCTGGCTGTTCTCCTCGTAAACCTCCAACGGTTGTCGTACTTTCTTACTGCGCGCCTGAAGGAGTACGACAGTAAGCAACAAATTCGCTGCGATTTTTCAAAAGAGAAATGAAACATTGGAAAAGGAGCACGCGGTGTATCATAATAAATTACGAGAGTTCAAAGAATTGAGAATAATTAAGGAGGGTGAATATATAAGTATATCAAAGAAGAGCAAAGAGAAAGAAATTAATCCTCAACATTTTATCAGACATCCTGCGCATACAATTAAATTGAAAATCGAACCGGCGACTTGCTTAATCCTCGCAAGGAAATCTGTTTCCGGTGATTTTTATCGATTATCGGAAGGAGGGGGAGGGGGGCGGAAAAAGCAAGGAAAGCGTGTCGTGTGTACGAGTCATAGATGCGATCGCCGTAAGAGGACGAGGACGGGGAAGAAGGAGAATGCAGGTAGGACCGCTAATCGAATCGACAGCGGTCACACTCGAGCGTGCAAGGTGTGTCGCATGTATTATGGAAAAAAAAAAAAAATAAACAATCAGAGGTCAATGCGCGCGGAGTAGCGGAACGGAAGATAATTTCCTTCCTCTATCTTTTTTCTTCCCTCTCCATAAAAGAACCGAGTCCCGCTATCTCCCGACCGGCGTGAATCGTCGTCGTTAAAATCAATGTACCTCGGCGGGTGATAAGCAACAGCTGCACGACGCGCGGCATTCGGCACGCGAGCCGGATTTGTCGTACGACCTTAATCGCGGAAACGACAGTATCTACCCCCGGAATGCGTGCACAATATCCGGAATCGAAAATTGAATATGCATGGAAGGCGTAAAAAAATCTCGCCCGATCTCGCGGCGGCGGATGCCCCGAATAATTTGGATTTTAAATTCTCGTGTCGCTGTAAGATCTGTCGGTCGATATCGAGACTCGATACAAAGTTCTAAAATTAGCTATTCAATGTCAAACATATATCCTTATTTCGTGTAGAGAAAATATCGCAAAAACAATTCTGTAATTATTAGAGAAAATAAATATTGAATATTCTACATTAACGAAGATTAAATATTCTGTTACGTATGTATAAAATGTCGAATTGTTATATTTATTCTTTAAAATTCTTTTGATAATACT